AAAACAGACGATTGTACCACTTTGTCAATGTTTTTACAGATCTGAGAAACACTTGGGTCCTTTGGAGAGTGTTTATATGTGTGTTTCTCTTTGCAACATTCTTTAGCTACAGAAGCAAAAAAAGCGGGTGGGGCTCTTGGAGCTTAGGAGAGAGAAAGGTAAAGGTAACATACCTGGGGGGAAGAGCAGCTGGACTGGAAAGGCACAGGAGGGGGAGAGAGGGAGGGGGCGGAGAGAGAGAGAGGAGGGGGGGGAGAGAGGGAGAGAGAGAGAGAGAGAGAGAGAGAGAGAGAGAGAGAATGCTCCTTGCAACATTGTTGAAAAAAATGTATCAACTGGGAAGGAAAACATGTGCTATTTGACACTCACCCCTTGACCTCTCCCATTAGTTAGGTAATATGAAGAGTTTTAATTGGTATAAGGCTTTGAAAAAAGAGGCACGGATATACTTCACCCAAATTAAAAGCATGCTCTGTCGTGACTGGTGTAGCTCAGTGGGTTGGGCATCATCCCGCAGACCGAAAGGTCCCGGGGTTCCATTCCCAGTCAGGACACACGCCTGGGTTGCCGGCCAGGTCCCTGATTGGGGGTGTGTATGGAAGGCAACCGATCAATGTTTCTCTCCCTCTGTTTCTCCCTTTCTCTCTCTCTCTAAAAATAAATAAATAAAATCTTTAAAAAATAATCATGGTCAACTCATCTCAAAGAGAGCCAAAAGGGAGATGCCACACCACCACTTTAAAAAAATCTGTTGTAAAAATAATATTCTTTGCTTATACTGTGGTGATTTACTTGCTGATTTAATTGTTTAAATATACTATCGTGAACAAATCTATTCTCTATTACAGAATATTGACTCTATTCTATTGGTGTTGGAGTAATTCTTTGTTAAGTACCTGTCAGCTTGGAAATCAACCAAATTTTCACTCAAGTACCCCATTTTCTCTTTTTCTGGGCTCCCACCACCAATGCAGAGGATAAAAAAATACTATCCTCTGCATTTTTTTTTTGGTCTTTTTACAAGAACCTTATTTTTGTGAGGTAAAATTATCTCTAACATGGATACAGTGCTTATAACACATCAACTTGGGGGAAATAAACATGAAAATAAAGAAATAGATGTCTATTACTTGGAAATCATTTATTGCCTCTATAAAATTTAAATAAAAACCCTACAAAAGTTCATATTACAGTCTGATACAGTTTTAAGGTGATAGTATGTTTCAGAGGTAGTACCAGTAAAATGGGATGCAAGATTTCTAAAATTAATTACTTAACAAGTTAATGCAAAATAAAATTTCAACGTGGAACAATATATACTCAGTATACACTTTAATGGAACAATCATAATTATATTTTCATGAAAATATCACTTTATTCTCTTTTAGCCCTTAGCAAATCTGCTATTAATAAATGTTTGTTTTGGGTAATGGTATGTTGACTGTCCAGAACAGAGCTTGGTGAAGAGCATGATACAGTGCCGTCTGCCAAGGATAACACCAACTTCAAAGATGAGCCTATTAACGCATCATTTAGACACTATGGTTCTTATAACTCCCTCAAAAAGGTTAATCTATTAGAATTTGACATTTTTAGGATCTGAATGAAAATCTAATATATATATTATATATAATAGAGTTTTTTAAATAGTGGTATTCCTGGTATACAATCACTGCAATGTGGAGGGCTGCAGTCCAAGAGTTCAGAAAGCCTCTTAAAAAATGATCAGGCTAAGATGAGGAAACTATTCCCAGGAAATGGGCAAAATGCCCCTTCCCCTCGAAAAAGGCAACAAAGTCAGGTCTTAGAGTCTAAAATTCTTTTAAATACACATCTTATGTTTTATCCTACAAATGTACAGATTGCTGACTAGGAGAGGGCCTTCAAATAAGGTGTTGCTGTCTTTGGAAAAATGAGCTCTTGGACATTTTTTGAAGTCTTGGTGGTACACAGAGCACAAGATGCGACTGGACGGCAGACTATTCTTCTCCAACAATAACAGACATTTCTGTCACATGATTGTAATGGCAGTACAAAATGTTCTGCTGTTAAAACTGATCTTATAACAAAACATTCCCAGGTTCCATGAAAAGGCCCATTTTCTTTTAAGTTTTCCTTGTGTGTGTTAATTTTGCTATTCACCAGGGTAAGTGCAGTTCTCCTTTTCTTGTGGATAATTTTAGTCTGGCTGAAAGGAGGAAGGTATCTTAATTTTTTTTGTTTGTTTTGTATTTTAATACATATTTTGGAAGGTAAATGTTCTTAGATGCACATTTCCGGCTTAGAAACATGTTGGTTATCCTAAGCTGAAAGCAAACATCAAAGAAAAAAAAGAGTTTTCACATTGACATCTGTTTCTGTGAGAGAAGGTTCAGATAGTGTGGTCTGTTTTAACATTGCATCAAAGCCCTATAGAAAGAAACACTAGTGGTTGTTTTTTTCCCCTCCCCTTCAGGGATGAAGATGTTCACAAAAAGTCATGAAATCATATTTTTCCTCTTCTAAAATGTCCCAAAACCAATTCCTATCTACATGTGTGAAAATATATATTTTCTTCATAATAGATTTTTAAATCTTGACGTTGGCAAATTTTTTAATCTGCCAATTATCATTTTTTCTTTCTGGATAGAGCTATTTCCTTTAGCTTCTGCCACAGAACAACCATATTTCATTTCCGAAATGTTTTAATTCCAAGGATAATAAAATCAATAATCCTGGTGCTGAACTGCAAACGCCAAAACAAAAACATCCCTAAGTGTACTGTTCGGATTGATGCAGTTTCTATTTTAATGGAACTTTAAACAGGGACAAGGGAATCATCTCTCACAACTGCAGACTAGGAGTCCTTCTAGGAATTACACCTAGCAGAATCCTTTAATCTATTCAACTTCTAATTAAATAAATTGTATTAGTATCCCTGAAAAAGTAAAAACTAATTTGTTTTCCAGTTGATGGCTTGCTGAGGAATCAAAATCCAATGTCCTTATAGCAGGAGGTCAATGAATATTATTTGATTTAGTGACCAAATGCTGAGATGGGACAAATAAAATCCATAGAGTTGAAAGATGTAGAGAGAATCATCTATCCTTACTTTGTAACAAGAATCAAATAAGACAGGCTTAAATTGAAGCAGAAAAACTAGGGTTTAAAGATAAACTCAGTGACTAGGAAGGAGATTTTAGGAGAGACTCGAAGGCCAGAAATTTGTTCATGCTACATTGATAAATGATCTCTATATTTGCTGTATATAACACACACTCTATCATCTGGAGGAATTGGTAAAACACAAATTTAATCATAGTGTCTGAGGTTCTATTGTTACTTAGCACTTTTTTTCTGAATGAAATCTGACTTGTTAGCAAAGAGTACTAAACATTGTTTGCAATGAACCATCTAGCCATCAGTTAGGAGGAAGTATACCTAACCATTGATATATTTCTACTAACAAAAGAACCATAGTAAGATGGTAGCGATATTAAATTTAACAAATGGCTGCAAAATGAAGGATCATCAACCTTACCTATTTGTGTGTGTGTGGTGAGGGGACACTTCAAGATCAAAGACATTCAGAACTGTCTTTCAGCATCGGTAAATTGGTATCGGCATTCGGGATCAAAATTAAGATCCAAATTGGTTTTCCTTAAAAATTACAAAAATATCTGACATAGAAACTTCGTGGCCAAAAGAGCCATTGAAGCTACTTCATTAACTTTTTAAATGTGTAGATAGTAATTTAACCACACAATGTGATTCCACACTACCAACCCACAAATGTATGATACTGTGTTCTCAGGGAGAAACTGGCATTTTCCTTTTTATGGGCCCTGGTGATGTCATCCGGTACCAGGAAGGGAAAGTCTGCAAAGAATTGTCTACAGTGTGTTGCCACCTGGTACCTGCTAATAGAGTGACTGGGTAGTATGCCCATAGAATAGTAACCAGGAAATCCAGAGAGCTGTGATTTACAACCAAAGTAGTAGAACACTTTTCGGATGTTATCCTTGGCTGATGGCTCTGTACATGCCTCACATGGAAATGAGGTAAAAATTTGTGGCAAAGCTGAATGACTAGATTAAAGAAAAACATCTTAGTGGCTTACCTTGACGTCTTGTTTCATAAAACATAAAAAGTAAAAAAATATTATGAAGGTGGTGATAAACTTCTAATATTTGTGTAACATTTCATCTAACTCAGTTACACAATTTTACTAGTAGAATGTGAATCTTATCAATATTTGTCATTTGCAGCAATGAAGAATTTCCATTAAGACTAATCTTTTCAACATTTTGTTTCTGTACACATAATTTATTTACCTTCATGTTGGTGAATTATTTTTCCATAGTGCTTCCCCCCTCCCCCCAAATATTTGGGTTAGATAATGAAGAATACCAATAATTTACAATTATATACTAGTAATCACTTCAATTTTCAATCATTAGCTTAAGTCAAATTCTCATTGGGTTTGAAAAATAAATCCAAAGACTCATCCAAGTTAAATCACTTTCAAAGTTTTGTTTCAATTTTCAGTCCACTTTCCTGAGTAAAAGTGTATGTTAGGAAAAAGAGAGGGAAAGAAAGACGATATAATGGCCTCAAAAACAATAATCAAGCTTCATTAAGTAACTTGAGAAGCAATGTTGAAACACGTTTATTTTTTGTGTCTCTGCCCAAAGCTATTATTAAAACTAAGGCTCTTCTATAAAACTAAACAAAAAATTCAAAAATGAGACATTATGCATTTCATAGTTAAATTGCTCAAATTTAAACAGTTGTTTTTTTCAGATTTCTATCAGTTTGGCAAAAACAGTCAAACAATTTTTAAGTTTCACACACATTTTTTGAACTGTAGCCATTATACCTTGCCCATCCTTCGCAGAATATAATGGTTTCAACAATATATTTTTGCAACTGAAGAATTTCAGGGAAGCAGAATGCAGTTATCTTGGAAAGCACACCTGTTAGGCAGCCTGAAGGCCGTGTCATATACACCCTCCCCCAAATCACACGCTGTCTGAGGCATTTTTCTCTGATAAAGAAGACACACTGAATGAGGTATCATCAGGCTCCGGCGAGGCATGATTGAAATCCATCTCTTCCAGTTCAGGAGGTAAATCTGACAGCAGTGCCTGAGTCAGAAAAATCAATATTTTTGAATTAGTATGTGGCCAGGTTTCCCCCTCCCAGTTTTATGTTAATAGTTATAGTCCTTTCATGTTGATTTATTCTTACGGATTTTAAAAAGGATCATTTATCTTTCAGGACCTTATAAGATATCTCACCTACAAGAAAAAAATTAATACACTATTAAGGAAGTAACAACTTACTTGATCTTGAGAGTGTGGATTATATTGGAGCAGAACCTTGGACAAAAGGGAAATCAGGAATGAGATGAACCACTATTCTGTCCCAAGTGCTTTGAAGTGTATGACATAAGTGATTTCTATGCTGGTTTTGAGTGTTCACTGATCACTGCTAAAGGGCTTTAAAATTATATTCCTTATTAAAATATTCCTGCCTAGTTATGCTGTCTTTTAGAGAAAAACACATTTCACAAAAGACCATTTTGTACCTCAGTTACAGGAAGAACTAAGCCATTAAGAGAAAAGTTCAGCTAGTTTCTTTTGGAGTAAACTTTAACAACTTGAAAATTCTAAGTGATACTTTTTTTCTTTTCTTAGGCTATTCCCATATATCTACAGAGGGCTAAGCACCCACAAGGGTACAGCTGAACAAACGAATTTAGCTGTGTAACGATGTACCTAGAGGGCTGGTCATTTCTCTGCTGGAGTAATTAGGATAAGCCAAGAAGCCAAGAACCATGGTGTAATTGTTTTATCTAGAGTTGCAGAACATGCATCTACACTAGAGAAATAAATGATTAATCAAGTTTTATATGGCTGACAGTGTTGATGCCTACTCGACTATAAGAAATTGTGAAGTAAATTACTAATTTGCTGCTCCCAATACTAAAAATAACGGAGCATATCTGGGAAATTTTTAGACAGCATTACTTGTAATGTGGGTTTTGTATACAGAGGTAAAGAAAGACCAAGGGAACAGACACAAATGCAAGCTTCCTACTGCCTGATTAAGGAATAGAAGGATAGGGCACGTTGAAGAACATATGAAGTCTACTGTTGAAATAAGACAGTATTGTTATATTCTCTTATGAAAACAATTGAGAACTATAAATCCTATACTTTTTGTCTCATAGCAGAGAGGCAAGATTAGAAACTTTCTTTTCTCAAGTTGCATAAGGAAAGGCTAATTCATGTTGGAAAAAAATTAATTTATTTTATATTACTAAGTAGTTCTTGAATGTCCTGCTGAAATTGAGAGTATTTAGAAAGCAGTCAGCTAAAAGTACTACATGCTTTTCAAGGTGGCTAGGTTGCACCATAAAATTAAGACACAATGTCATTTTCCTCGATGACAGTTGTTTACCACTAACCCAGTCTAGTTAAAACAAAGCCTTTGCTGACATTGGCTGATCATAGTTTATAAGGATCATATCGCTGGATTTGCTTCACTTTGTGAAGAAGCTATATTAGGGCAGGTGAAGTGCTTAGAGTATTGAAAAGTCAAGTGGATGAGAGACTTACTGACAGTCTAAATTTTAGTGGGGAGGTCTTAAAATCAAAGAAGCACTATTATGTATTTCTTTGTCATTACATTTCACATAGTTGGCCCACAAAATGAGTGTAGTATGAAACAGAAAAAACTTTAATATCTGAGTCAATAGAGGGCACTACAAATGCATAAAGACAGCTTCAAACATTTTTTCAGTATCTTACTAGATTGCAACACCGGCACGCTGAACAGATCTTTGGAATACGTCAGCTGCTACAACTGCCTTTTTCTTAGGAACTAACATGATCAACTCTTCTTACTACAGGTTCTTCATCAATCTATCTTCACAGTTTGACCTAGGGCCACTCTTCCCAAAAGATTAGAGCACTTCCCAAATATATCATCAGTCTCTATAACACTTATTCTAGGGCCCAGGGAGTGAATGCCAAGTTCCATTATGTTAATTATTCTCATCTTACTTGCAAAGTGGAGAAACTGAAGTTTAAGAAGGGCAATTGACCCGGCTAGGTTCACATAGTGAATTATCAGGGGAAGAAGGACCATAACTAATGACAGAACAGGGCTGGCAACATTATTTTTACCTTAAAATGTCAATTGATTACAAAAAAACCTTTGAGCAATATAATATTTCAGTCAGACTGCATCATATATTTTTAAGCTGGGGCTGCTTCATTGGGGCAAAATATTCTGTGTACCACCATCTCAGTCAACTGGCCCAAATCAAGATTAATGGAAAAACACTTGAGATTTTTTTTTTAAATGGGAATCCAGTGAAACACATTCCTTCTAGAAATAAACCTCTAAGAATTTCATAGTGTTAAATCAGTAATTTAAGACATCATCTGAATAACTTTTATGGGATACTATTAGTGTCTTCTTGTATTTTGAGACCATATTTTGAGATCCATTATACCTGATATCAACTATGAAAATTAGTAGTTTCTATTTGGGTGCTGATTATATAAGCTATGACTTTTAGTACAATTTTTGTATAACATTCTCTGTTTCTCAACCAACATTTTGTCCATATCTTAGTTCATTAGTCTTTATCAGAAGAAACGTATAAGAGAAGGAGAAAAGTAAAATGTAAAGTAGTTACTTTTCTTATTTGTTAGTGGTTTTAGGGAAAGAAACAAGCTAGAGATGAGGTTAGAATTAGCAAAGAAAATGCAATTTGTATGTTATTCCTAGATATCAATAGACATAGACAACTGCCATTTAGCTGGCTGTCTAACTCTGAATTCAAAACCAGACTATGACTTTTGGAACCAGGACTACACTCCAAGTTATTCCTATGGTCAGACCTAATATTTTTTACAGTTATTTAAAAGTTATAGTACCCATGGGACCATGTTCAAGACTGTCAACTTATTTTGTAAAATCTTTAGTGCAGGTTCATAAGAAATAAACACATTTTCAGTGTGTCATGGGAGATGCATAACTCACACAGTAAAGCAATTTGCTTAAATAAAAAGGCAACTGAAGATGAATGTCTTGGGATGTCTGCATGTGCCGTGGGGAGAGCAAAATTCATGAAAGTGGAAACATAATGTGTGTGCTGGTTTGAACCTTGTGACTAAATTATTTTAGTTTAAATTTTGTTCTATACTTCAGTGAGACATGAAGACATTTTCTTTTTTAAAAAAGGGAGAATCGTGAGATGCTAAGGCTCTCATCTTTTCCTCTGGAGATGTCTGGGATGGTACATGCAGTCTTCTGTTTAGCATACAAGGGGTCATTTTTTTACTCTTGAGATTCTTTGCTGAACAAAAACTTCTCAGACTGCTTCTTAATTAGTGGTTACCTTTGTGACATATTACTCATATTGAACTTTACTGACAAGGAATCAACCTGATGGTATACAACTCAGAGGCAAATTTGGTATCATTTAAGTATTAAATAGAACATTATAGTTCTATAATTCTTTTTAGCAAGCATAATAATTTTTTTTTAAAATTCCATTCACAAAGGTCCCCAAATATGTGCCTCTCCAGTTAAGGTGGTGGTCTCTACACACATTTTGAGAATTTCTTTAAAATTATTATATTTTAATCCCTATTAAGCGCTAACTGTTGTGACTCAGTGGGTTGGGCATTGTCCCACAAACTAAAAGTTTCCCAGTTCAATTCCCACTCAAGGTGCATGCCTGGGTTGTGGGCCAGGTCCCAGGCTGGGGGCGTGTGAAAGGCATCATATCAATGTTTTTGTTGCACGTGGATGTTTCTCTCCCTCTCTTTCCCTCTCCCTTATTCTCTCTCTAAAAATTAATAAATATAATCTTTCAAAAAATCCCTATTTAAGGTTAACTTGGAATTAAAGTATGCTAATTAGTTATTTTGATTTTCCACTGAAGGACCACACAAACATCTGAATATGTGATCTGAAAAGATCTGTGCTGAAAAAGGTTCTAAGTAACAATCTTTCCTCGGTGGAAAGCAGGAACAGAGTATAAAAATACATATATATGAAAAACCTACGTGCAACATGCCATTATTCAACGTGATATACTACAGCTTACTATTCACTTCTGGCACCTACCTGTTGTTGTTCCTTATCCTCAGCTTTCATAGCTAGTATCAAGCTTCTAACAAATGTCTGAAGTTTAAAGTATTTTTGCTTTTGAATTTCTAGTTCATGTTCAACGAATCTGACTTCTTTATTCTGAAGGAGAAGACATTAAACAATATAATTAACCTATGCAAACATAGGAATATACATAGCTGTTGCACAATAAAATTCTAAAAAAAGCAATCTAATTAGAGAGATAATAAAGAAGATAAACTTTTAGCATAAAGGAATAGAAAGCACAGAAAGAAACTGTCCTTTTACTCTAAGGCTGTTTTTTTAAGCAAATCACTAACAGAGAACAATTTGCAAGGCTAAAGATCCAATGAAATTAATTTCAGTAAGAAAAAAATCAAGAAACAGGTGTCCCCTTGGAAAGACTTCCCCTGTATTACACCTATCTGGCATTTGGATTAAGATTAAGAATAGACAGCACTCAATTAACCCTAAGTAAAAAGCAATTGCAGATGCATTAATGCTGAATGTACGATACACAAAGCCAAATACTGAAAGCTAAAAAGGTTATAATTTTTTTACCCAGAAGAGACTAAAATTATTACTAAAACTGTCTTAAGTGGTTTGCTGAGCACCCCTGACCTTACGTAGGAGTCTGTTACTCAGAAAATATTTCCAAAATACCACTGTATACCACTAATTTGAGACCAATTCTTTCTCCACTCTTTGCTAGTTGTGTAGGAAAAAAGCAGTAGACTAGAAGTTTGGAGGATTTTAGTGCCGAGACTACTCATAATTGTGTAAATGTGGGCACCCAATTAACCTTTCTGTGACTCTGTTTACTCATCAGTGAAGTGGATATAATATTAATAATCTCTAGTTATTCTAGCATTGAGGGTTAGAAGGTTCTTATGAGACAATGACCATAAAAGTGCTTTGAAAAGATTTACTGTTAGAGCTACAGTAATCAAGAAATCAAACATACATAGTATTGGTGAAAGATTGGACATATAGGTCAGAGGAGCAGAACAGAAAGTCCAGAAATATATGTGCTAAAAAGGGACACATATATTTATCTGGTTGATTTTCAAAAAAGGTGCTGAAGTAATTCAATGGACAAAGAAAGAATAGTCTTTCAAAAAGAGTGGTTGAACAATAGTAAATGGATATCTAAAAAAAAGATATCAACTCTTACCTCACATCATATACAAAATTTAACAAGAAATGGATCATATACCTAGCAGTAAGTCCTAAAACTATAAAACTTCTAGAGAAAAACAGATGAAAAAAAATCTTTATGTCCTTGTGTTTCACAAAGATTCCTCAAGGAGACACAAAAAACATGAAACATAAAGAAAAACTTCATAAAAAAAAGTTTGGCCTTCAAAAAACACTGTTAAGAAAATAAAAATGCAAGCTACATATTGGGAAAAAATATTAGTAAATCAAAACCTGATAAGTAGTTGCATTTAGAACACATTAAGAACTCTTACAACACAATTATGAGATCAGAAACAAAGAAAAAGCAGGCAAAGTATTTGAACACACACTTTATCAAAGAAGATGCATGAATGAGCAATAAACACATTAAAAATGCTTAATATCATTTGTCATTAAAGAAATGCAAACTAAAACTACAAGGAGATAATGCTACTAACATACTACAATGGCTAAAGTTAAAGAGAAGGACAATAGCAAGTGTTGGTAGGAATATGGACCAGTTTGGAGTCTCATGCATTGCTGGTGGAAGTGCAAAAGGGTACATCCACTTTGAAAAAATGTTTTTGCAGTTTCTTATAAAATTAAATCTACTCTTTCCTACCATCTGACTCAGCAATTCTACTCTTAAGTATTTACTGAATATTTAAATGAAAACATATGTCATATGATCTCACCTATAAGTGGAACCTAACCAACAATACAAAGATGCAAGGAAAATAAGACCAGCAACACTGAAAGGAAAAGAAACCAACAGAGACAAGAGGGAAGGAGGGAGGGGTAAAGGAAGGGAAGGGGAAAGTCAAGGAACATATAGCAAGGACTTGTAGACAAAACCAAAGGGGAAGAGTTGAGGGAGGAAGGGAGGGAGGGAGGGAGGGGGCAAGGGAAAGTGGTGGGGGGTAGGCAGAGACAAATGTATTTGAAAAAATAAATAAAAAAAAGAAAAAGAAAACATATGTCCACAGAAAGACATGCATACATATTCATAGCAGCTTTATTCACAATAGTCAAACACTAGAAACAACACAAGTGATTGTCAATCAACAGATAAATAAACAGATTGTAGGCATGGCTACACAAGAGTGTCCCCTTGTAAAAAAAATCATCTAACTGTATAAGGAGGAGAATTTTATTGCATGGAAGTTATATGTAAAAAAAAATCTGATTGAAAATGGAAAATAAATTATGAGCTGGCCCTTCTGCCAAAAAACACAAAAATAATCTATAAGTAGTCTTCACAGCTGGAGACTTGGTCTTGAAGTGCAGAGCAAGACCTTTAACAGTATTTTTTCAAAAAGTTTCATAAAAGTCATTAAAATTAGTTTTATGGGCATTTTTGTTGTTTAAGATGAAAGGATGCAGTTGTATTAGTCACATTGAATCTATGAACATGTTTATCGCATCAACTATTTTATCAGCTCAGTTTAGAACTTATTTTACCTAATAAAACTGCTTCCTTTTCAGACCATTTAATATCAAGTGAATCATCTGCAAATGATGATTCAAGCTAAATTCCACATCCAAAGGCACTCTACAGCAATCTAATTTACAAGAAAGCATTATAATAAAATTCAACATGCTCCTGCCATAATACATTTGACTAATTCTAAATACATATATTTTCAGTGCTCATTGTCAGAACAATAGTGTTAGTAAAGTGCTGACCAGGAAGTCTTTTCAAATACAGGACACATCTCTCATCATTATCCTAGTTCTTTGAATGCACAGTCCTTTGGAGCTGCCCTCATAGTCCATTAAAAATTTTTAAAAACATTAATTCACATTTGCCAAAGTCACGAAGCATCATAGGTATACAGATCTCTAATTTCTCATGTGAATGTTCCTCTTCCTCCTCAGTATTTCTGCAATGTTTGAACAACATAAATGGCTTTGAGATAATTTAATATGGTGGATATTTTCTTCTCCAAGCAATAATTTACATGTACTTTAGAAATTTTCCTAAGTAAATAGAGTGTTAGTGAGAGGAACTAGTAAGGTAACATCAGCCACTGACTTTCAGAAAGCAAGATTTACCTCATTTTACTTGTTAAAGTCTTCCCTACATTCCCCAAAATTCTGTCAATTCTTCTCCAAGATGATAGTAGGGAATATTCAAGGTGTTATTTTCTGATATAGTGCTCATGCTACGGGGACTGAGATAACCATTTTGGGTTAGTTGGAACTCCTAGCCATATTTTTAGGAATATATCTGAACTAGAAACTCCACTGGTGGTTGCACAGTAACAATGATCAAATGCACATTAGAAATATTCTTTTATTTTGCTACAATGAATCTCAAGAATAACGGAAGACTTGTTTAATTTAGTGTAGGAAAAAAGTTATCATGATCAAGCTTCCTGTCTCAATTGATTCCAAGGGCTTTAATGAACTCACTCACTCAGGAATTAGTTGCTGGACATCTATGAACTAAGCACGAGACCAGATAACACATAGATAAATAATTCTCCACCTTCAAGAATCTTATAATGAATATACTTAAGAAACCAGAAAAATGATTTTGATCCCAAAACAACTAATACTAACATGTGTACAGATAAAGTACTAATGTTCTCTGAAGAAAGATTAAATTTCTAAACCGATACGGATGTTTTAAATCAACCTCCTGAAATCAGCAACTGTTATATGAGGTTTCACTTACCCTTACTTTAAGGCAACAAAATTCACAGATGAAGTGGCCTGACATATTTTTAATAATGATTATAAAAATATATTTCTATATAGGTCTGACTTTTTTTTTACAGTTAAAAAAGTTTATATAGGATGGCAATGTGTTATAAAAGACATCCTTAATAGGGTAGTGAAGGACCCCTTGTTCTCAAAGCTTTTACCACAATGGAAAACGCTGAATCACTGAATGTTCTTTAGAGTTCAAGGAAAATGTTAATTAAGATTTCTAGACTGGACACTCTGCCTTGCCCTGGCTTTCAGCTCCAAAACTTGTCAGGTTCGCTGGAACACCAGAGGGGAAAGGTCCTAGAAAGAATCCACAGAGTTCTGGGCCCAGCCCTAGCGGAACTGTTTGAGAGTGGTAAGCGGAGCACACTAAACAGCTGTGCAATCCAGTCCTCTTGTCTGTACTTTCCGTAGCCTGTGCCAAGCAGAGCCATTTTAATCCTGAACTGGGTATTTAGAAATATATGCTCATGTAGGACAGATTAGAATGATCTCTTGGACTTCAGAACCAACAACTTTATTTTGTTATACGGAAACAGAGTTTAAATACAGGATTGCATTGTGCTCTTTGACCACTTAGAAAATGAATTTTGAAAGACAGTTTTCTTTAGTGTGTACAATGTTCGATATTAGAAAGACTGACATGTTATGAACATTTGGAAAACAATCCGAACAATCTGTTGAATGACATATCTTTCAATTATAGTAAAACTGAAAAAAAATTGAGAAAATGACAGCTGTTGTCCTTTCTCATTAGATGTTATGTTATTTTCTGTTAATATCTAAATACTAGCCTCTGCTTTGACCTCTTATGAAATTCTAAAAAAAGGGTGTTTGTGTATGGAAAGAATGATTCTGTGGCCAAAATTTCAGAAGGCTCCAAAGTTACCTTGTAAGATATGATACTGATTAACAAAGAGAAAACAATTATACACATATGCAAAAATATATTAAATATGGACTGATAGCTTATGTCAAAATTTAATAAAAACAAAATAGTGTATGGCATATTGTCAAAGTAAGCCTTTCAGTTTAGTAACAAGTGACATTAAGAGAAGGTAATTTTTCCCTGGTTGGTGTGGCTCAGTGGATTGAGTGCCGGCCTGTGAACCAGAGGGTCGCTGGTTTAATTCCAAGTCAGGGCACAGGCCTGGGTTGCAGGCAAGGTCCCCAGTAGGGGGTATGTGAGAGGCAACCACTCATGGATGTTTCTCTCCCTCTCTTTCTCCCTTCCTTCCCCTCCGTCTAAAAATAAATAAATAAAATCTTTAAAAATTTTTTTTTAAAAAAGGAAAGGTAATTTTTATTTATATTCATTCAGTATTTTCTTTAGGGATTGTTTTTAAACTTCTCCTAGAATAGGTATACTATTATATTTTTAAAAAATGGCCTTCAGAAATTGCAATTAAAGGTAAAATTAGCAAAGGAAAAATCTGGAAAAAATTTCCCCTTTGCCATCATTTAAAAATGAACATTGGGTTTAAAAAGCATTACCATAATCTTAGATTAACCACCACTATGTACTGCATCACCTTGTCATACACCACCAATACTTACGCCTACTGAGCAAACTTTGTGTTTATAACTATAACCACTGAACAAGCCAGTATTAATTAAAATGCCCAGAATCTTGACTGATATCCAAGATGTCTGAGCGTCAATGTGGAGCCCCAGGATGTTAAACTTATCAAATGGGAGTGCAATTAACCAGTACATAAGTACTTTAATAGCCTGACTCATTTAATATCTTCTTTTAATGGGTTCACAATTTGCAATTACTTTACCTTATAATCCAAGAAAGAATTCACTTGTTCTACTTCAGAATTACTCATCATGTCACTTTCTTCATCATCAATAATTTCTATTTTCTGTAACACAGGTAGGGAAGTTTTAATAAATATAGATTTGCTCATCATCACTACACTTAATGTATAAAGCATATAGAAAGTTCAATTTTAGTTATGTGATTACCTAGTCAAGGATATCCAGAATAAACTCTGCTAACTGACTGATTATACTTTAAAATAGAAAAAAAAAACCTTTCACAATATGCCAGAAAAAAAGGCATTCAAATTATGCTTAAATAGTGCCCTACAGTGATAGGGAACTTGTTTCCTATAAGAATAGTGTAATGCTAACCATAACTAATTGGTTTAAAGACTTTCTCTTTCAAGTCCCTACACACTTCTTTGCAATTTCTAATGTAAAATGTCAACATATTCCTAAGTTAAATATATATCTTTTTAAAAATGCACTTATTTACTTCACTCCATTAGCTTCAATTGAAAGCAGACATGTATGATGTAATGATCAAGATAGCACGGTTATTTATTTCCTTCACTGGACGCTAAGAAGGAAGAGTGAGAGAGATTCTAAATTGCCCTTAGCTTTTGAGTCAAGGTACAGCATAGCTTGTACAGTATCTTGCACATAGAAGGTACAAATTAAATATCTATCAAAAGAATAAACAAAACAACTTAGTATTGGTGGAAAGAATGACCAATCAACTCCAAGCATGGGGGCAAGGCAAGTTCTCTAATCATGGAAGCTTTTATTGAAAACCAAAACCAAGCCCTGGCTGGGGTGGCTCAGTTGGTTGGAGTGTGGTCCTGTAAAGGTCATGGATTTGATTATTGGTCAGGGCACATGCCTAGGGTGCGGTTTGCAGCTGGGGTGTGTATGGGAGGCAACCGATCAATGTTTCTCTCTCACATCCAAGTTTCTTTCCCTCCCTCCTTCCCTTTCCCCCTCTCTCAAATTAATGAGCATGTCCTTGGGTAAGGATTAAAAAAAAACCCAAAAGATAAAATGCACTCTAATTTTTAATTTTTAAAAAAATAACTTTTATGTATGAAAAACACAGTTAGGGAAAAGCACTTTTAAATATTTAAACCCTGCCAACCCGAAAGGAATTTTTAAAAAGAGAAAAGCTAAGCTAGAGCTAGTCACTAGGCAGTCTTTTAGGAGCAAGCACATTAATAGCAACATGTCGTGGGCAGAATCTGAAATCAAGCTCCCTACCCAGCAATATATATGGTGATTAAAAGTTGCAAACAATCTTGGAATGATCATATTTGACATATTCGCTATGAGAGTACAACACCATAACAGGGTTTGTGACCTACAGGCTTCTGAGTCAGGAAGACAGCTGCAAAGAAATTGCTTTCTACCGCTGCCTAGAGATAAATCTAATGTTTTGTTTTCTATTATAATCACTATAAACTTAGGGCTTAATCATGTTGGCTCTCACCAGACCTCAGATTTGATACTTTTTTGATGTTGTTTTTAGATTCTCAATATATTTGGATTGGTTCTGGGAAAAAGTAGCTAAGTAATCTAAGGAGGAAGGCACCAAAGGCCACTGTATAGATTTGTGCATATAAATGGGTCTTATATGTCTTTGTGATTTGTTACCCATGAATAATTGGGGACATTGAAAAGTTACAGGCAGAGAAGATCAACCTTTGAAAGTTTGGACTTTTGTCTCTGGAAATCAATCGTTCCTGAGAAATTAAGCGCCTAAGTGACTGTGAGTCATCCCATGCCATGACTTCATTCATTATCTTCAAATGCCTGCTGCAAAGGAAATCCAGTGTAGAGAGATTCAGGCCACAATGAGCACGACTTTAGGAGGAAAGAGGCTCTAATTTCTAAGCAAACATCTATAACTTGTATAATGTATCTCACATCTACAGCAGGGAATATTATTACTTGGTGGGATTTAAGAATATTAGCACAATTAAGAACTATGGAAAACAATTATTACTAGCTATATAATGAAAACGAGATTTTGCCTCAGAATAAAGCCTTGTTTTCCTATGTGCTCACTGAATTTACTGTTAGAAGGGTCAAACATCAACTTAAATCAGGACTAAAATCAATAGAATGCAATCCTAAACTATATTCTGCATGTGGGAAACGCTGTTATATATTGTTGATGTTTAGCAAAAAAGAACAAAACTGTATTTTAGGTGCTTAATTTTCATCAAGAACACGCGGCAGGATTATAGTGTCAGATAAACAATGTCGGTAATGAAAGCCAGGGTAAATCTTGAAGTTATCGCCATTTCGTAACACAAAAATCCACCATAGGGACCATTTTTTAAAGGTTACAATGAAGCATAAAATACTTTAAAAAGCAAAAACAAAGCACAATAGTGTTCACCTTTATGCCTGACTTTAATAACATCTTAGTATCTGCATAATTTGATAGAGTCAGAATATAAACAGATACTGCTAAAACAGCTGCTTAGAGGACATCTAAAATAATGTTTATATTTTTACAAAACTTATTTTAATCCACGCATAGCCTGTCTCTGCCTGCCATTTAGTTGCTTAATATTGTCTTTCCTCCATTTCTATATTTTTACTGATAACTAATAGAGTCCAATTAACTAGAAAGAAGAAGTTTCCAAACATAGTATATAAGATAGGCATGGTCTAAACAGAGACCTTGGAGTAAGGAATACTTGGATACAAATCCCAAAACTAGCAAAAGTTTCTTTCATAATATCAGGCGAATCTCTTGTTTTAATTCTGCCTACTGTCAAATGAGAAAATATCTGCTCTTTGCTAAATGTGTTTTAGAAAAATAACTTATGTGTAAAATGTGTAGTAAGCATTAGGTTTTTATACTTGCAAATGTCCTAAATTAAAAAAAAAATCTGAGGTTCAATGGACAGTGCTTTAAATTTCATTTCTTAAACCCTCAAAGATATATAATTTCATTGCTAACAGTTATGTTTGCACTTGTGAGGTGGAGCAAGACTTTATTCTGACAACATTAATATTGTCATCAACCAAAAACATATCCTTGAAATTCATCATGTAACAAGGAAGTAACTTGCGACTGTACATACCACATTATCTTCAGATACTGCATGGTGGTCCTCTTCCTTATCAGCCCTTCTTTCACTGGGAACAACTTCATTGGTTTCTTCTATAGAAAAAAGGGCATGAGTTAATTTCCTCTTTCCTCAAAACTTCATTTAGAATTCTTTCTTCAAGAACAATGAAAGAATTTATTTTAAAAAGACAAATGGCAAATTCATTCCATATATGCTTTGATGAGCAGTTCTCCTTTTAAAATGTGTTTTAAGGGAATAAATGTGGGAACGTAAAAGTACTAGGACAGTCACTACTGCATTGTTTATAAGTTAAAAAAAAAAAAGGAAGCAGTCTATATGCTTAGCCATGGATGATTTAAGACCTGTGAAGCCAATGAAGACGAAGTAGAAGAATAGTGGATAATAAAATATTCATGGTCTGTTTTCTGTAATAAACATACATTCTTTTTATGATCAAAATCAATATTCTAAAAATGAGAAATAAAAGAAAAAAGTTAATTCAGAGAAATCAGTCTACTGAAAACTCTCTGTGCTGAACTAAGGGAAGTGGTGAGGTCACAGCATCAGGTACCTACTCTATAACCCCGTTTTAGATTACCGCTACCTCTCCTTCTTAGGAAAACAAGGCAGTGCCATTTCTCCCTGTTCTTTCTGCAGTGCCATAATGAGGCAGGATAAGTAAAAGCCATGAAAGTTCCTGGGCAAGTGGAATAGGGAAATTGAGACAGACAGTTGAACACAATCTGTACCTTCTGTACCAATTTACAGTCACAGAAGGTCAATTTACAGGTACAGAAGGTCACCTCCCTGGAGATGACACCTAGGATTCAGTTGTATTTCAGCTCCAGGCCCAGAAAAATAGCAGAATCAGGGGCGACTCAGAACCAGTTACAATGACTAAGGATCCCCTGCCCAGTCACTGTCAAATCAGTGGGGACCATGCCCCAAAAGAAAACTGATGAATATTCTGCTGAAACCCTCCCGTGAGACCTCCCCTCAGATTCCTGCCTGAGAGAGAGAGAAAAGCCTCAAGATTAAGGATCCAGAGCAGGCTTGCTCTCCCTGCGGGGAGCAGGGCACCATTCCCTTTCCGCTCTTCTTCCCTCGCTTCTTCCTCCACGGCACGTGTCTCCTAAAGTAAGGGACCCCAAGACTTGCAACCAGGGGAGCAATGGGCAGCGGCAGCAGCTGTCCCAGGCTAACTCTCTGATCCTGTCTCTAAGGCTCCCTTTTCTGTGACTTCCCAGTGAGCTAAAGCAGCCCAGCCTGGGCTCTCCAGTTTCTTCTTCTATGCTAAGCCCTGCCTTGTTTCACTGCCCCCAGCTTTACTAACTTTACCCTCATAGTCGCCTGGACTCGTGCTGAGAAACCTTTCCTACACGAAGTCAAGCGCCCGCACACTACAGTTGGCCCTCGGCAGACCTGCTCAGGGCCAGACCCCTGTCTGGTAACAATATCATAAAGATTATTTACATATATATTAGGGAAAATGTTCAGCCCCTTGGTAACAGACATTTTACTTCGCCATATAAAGCATAGCAAAAATGTCAGCCCTCCTAAGATTTTCTGAGTCCATTCCTTTCCATGGACATGAACGTGGGGATGATTAGGAGGAAAACATGGTTGATCCAGAAACTCACACATGAATAGAGAATTAGAGCTTAAGTATCCAGGGAAATTTTACTGGCGTTTTAGTGCAAAGTTCAAATTAATTTTTTAAATAAAAGAATGGTCTCTAGACAGGAAACTATTATCTGTTATTTAGACATTTCAAATCACAGGCATTTCAAGTCCTGTGTAATCAGAAACTAAATGAAATGAAGGGAGGGAAAATTGCCATCAAGTTTAGTTCAGAGCTGGAATTAGTACTGGTACCCTCAGAATAGGGGTTATATTGCTCATCAACAAGATCGCTACTGGAATCATTCTTTATTGGCTTGCCTTACATTTCTATTCTTACTTGCTCATAACTTTGTACACAGTTCAGCTTTACCAGCAACATATTTATGCATGGTTAATTATTTTATAAGATGTAAACAAGAAATTGTTTTGAGGATTTCTAAAATAAGAAGGTGTGAAGTCACACAGCTGAATTAGGCATTTTGTTGTTGTTGTTGCTTACAGATAGCTTCCACATTAGTGAAAGTTTGAAAGCTAAGCACTGCTAATGTGTCTGGTTATTCCTCAAGAAAAGCAGCCTTGTTAATTGGAAATTAAACAAGTAAGTGGAATTCTTAATCAGTCAGAACTCTCAGGGGCACTCAATGCGGTGGCCATAGTAACCGTCTGTAGACTTATCTTCCATGCACACACCCACATAACAGATACAGCTGAAATAAGACTTTGTTATGAAATTTAATGTTATAGATGTTAGTCGTTCCCATACGTTAAACAATTGGCTTCTCAGAGTAGTAGAAGGAATCTTTAAAATTGCTCAACCGTAAATATATTTTGGCAGACACAGAACTTGAAATTAAGTTGCTGAGTCACCTATTACTTCTGCTAGAGTTTGCAGTTACGTGAGGGGTAAAGCTGGGTAGCTTTTTCTCTTTTTTTTTAATCAAGACCAACCACACCCCCTTCCTCTTTTGCTCCATACATGGCAAGGAAAAGGAAATGGGAGAAGTGAACGTGGGAGGTAGAAGGTAGAAGTTAGAGTTAAGTCAGAAGCTCTGTATCAGGGAAGTACCTATTCTCTCAGAAGTAAAAGAATGGAATTGAAACTGCTGAAAGATCAATAGCACTTTTTGGTGACTTTGGCTAAACATGCCTTTGGCCATGTTTTAAAAATGATTCTTGTTTTTGCTTGTAGAATTTTTTTCTAGAAGCTTTTAATGTGATATCAATTGATTTTAACATGTAAAATGTAAGACCTGATCTAAAGATATTTTTTCCTTAAATATTTGGAAGACTAACCCTGTTGAATCAACAGCCATATTATAAAGGATCCTGAATGTCGAGTTGTTAGGTTTTTGAAGTAGTATGGTCAGCTACTCATTATTCTGTCTATCTCTAAGGTGTCATGTAATTAATAGAAATCTCAAAGTAAACATACATATAACTATAGTTTCAGAACAGGAAGAGAATATGGTTAGTGTATTTTAAAGGTATGATATTCATCTAGGCAGATGATATAATTCACTTAATCATCACAAAATGATCACACAGTTAAATCAGTCAGATTACTGTTCTCCACCAGCAAAATGAGGAAGTGAATAGGACAGAATTAGTATAAAACAGTACAAAAAAGGCCCTTTTCAGTACTTGAAAATTCTTTTATGTTCTTCTGGTGCAATTTTGGATGAGAATGAAAAGCTTACCATGCAGCTGTGAAAAATAAGCCACTGAGAGGAATTCTAGACACTCTCACTTCCCATCAAGTGTATTTTGATTCAGGCATTAAATTCTCTCTTCTTTTTCTCATTAGATCTTGATTACTATGCCAGCTGTCTAGAGAATACACTATTAAATGACAAAGGATGCTAGTGTAGAAGCAGTGGTCCATTAGCAACCTTAAAATTTATTCACTTTTCCCCATTAACTCCTTATTTTTTAAAACTCCCTCTTAGGTGGGGAAGTAGGAGTTGGGGAATGAAACTCTCCTTAGGGATTTATGTAATTTCCTTTTATCAGTTCATTTTCTCACAACTCTCCAATCCACCCATAGAAACATACAGTCATTCCTTAAAAGATCATTATGAATCATTGAAAATATTCAAATATTCCCAGGCACATACAATTTAGTAAAGGTTACTCTTAGACAAAAATGGTTTCATGGATCAACTGGATTAGAAATAAGGGGATTAAAAAGGATGCAATAGCTTCTCCTTTTTTTTCTGCTTCACAGTTTTTCTGTACACTAAATTCTCTGTTATTATCTTCATTGAAATCAATAACAAGTATTGATAAGAGAGAAAAATACATGGCCCTCTCCATACTAACAGCTTTCATTACTCAACCTACTGCAATCTGGATACCTCTCACCCATGCAACTGCTTTTTCAAACAACTTCTGAAACACCTATCTATGACTTCCCATCCTTTTTTAATTTTATTATTTCCACTTTATTAAAGTGTAATTGATATACAAGAAGTCCACATAATTAATGTATAAAATTTGGTGAGTTTAGACAAATGTATACACTCCTGGTACTATCACCACAATTCAGGTAATAAACACATCCAGCACCTCCCAAATATTCCTGTGTTCCCTTTTTGGTGTTAAAAACACAACATGATTTACTCTCTTAACAAGTTTTTAGGCATACACTCTTTTATTACTAACTATGGGCACTATGTTGCTTACCAGATCTCTGGAACTTATTCCTCTTGTATGACTGTAAATGTATGCTTCTTGAACAACTCCCCAAATCCTTTGCTCCCAGTTCCCTTGTACCACGATTCTTTTGTGCACTTATATACGTTTGAGAATTTTAGATGCCTCATGTGAGAGAATATCCACTTGAACTCTATAAGATCATTGAGATAATGACCCCTCTTCTTTCTGAAATCTCTCTTTCCTTGGTTACTGACTCTCCTGTATCTGAACGTTCTTTCAATGGCACCCTTTTCTCCTTCAGCTCCCAAATCTGGATATTTTTCAACTCAGTCCTTGTCTATCTTCCTCTATTGTTTTCCATTTTCTCAATTAAGTTTTCTGTTTCTATGGCTAGACCTTATTATGGGGAGGGGGATTACAGAAAGCAATTCTAAAGTTTATCAAGAAGAATCAGTGTGCTGTGAGAGCCAAGAATAACGAGAGCCCTACCTGATATTTACATATTTTGTAAAGCCACTGCTATAACCAATCAGATCAGTGTAACATAAGAAATCCAGAATTTGACCCACATGGTGTGTATGTATGTACATATGAATGTGCATAGGTATTTATATAAAATTTTATAACATATATATGTATTTGATAAAAAGCTACACTTAAACTCACTGGGAAAACACTGAATTATTTAATCAACAGTTATAAATATCAGGTTATAAAAATGAAACCATAAGGATACAAGAAAAAAAACATAGGGGTATATTTCTACAATTGTAGTACCAGGAAAGAATTTTGAATTATGACACCAAAGCCAGAAGCCATAAAGGAAAGTATTGGTATATTTGACAATATAAAAATTAAAGGAAAAAAGTTCTGACATCAAAAACTTCATAAGAAAATTTAAAAGGCACAAAATAAACTGGAAGATATAGTGTTAATATCCTGATCAATAAAATAAAAATAAAACTAGCCAGTGCAAGATTCTCCCTATCACAGACACAAAAGACAAATATTGTATGAGTCTCTTTATAGGAAATTCCCGGCAAAGACAAATTTATATAGTCAGAGAACAGGTCAACGGTGTTTCGGTTTGGAGATGGAAGTGGGGGCTTGACTCCAAATGGGCTCATGACAATTTTTTCAAGCCATGAAGATATTCTAAAACTAGATTTCAATGATGGCGATGGTTGCACAACTATAAAATTTACTAAAAATCACTGAATTCTATATTTACAATGGATGGATTTTACATTATGTAAATTAAACCTCAATATAAGTGTTGACTTTTAACACATATCAGAAGAGAACTGTGTCTATGTTTACAGTAAAATGAAAAATACTTCTCATGGACAAATGGTACAATTACATGTTATTATTTTAATTTTCATTTAGGGAAACACCGAGATATATTATAAAGATAATCCAGGCCAATTCCTATACTTTGCAGGTGAGGAAACTAAACCCCAATGAATTAAATACTTTGCCTGAAGTTACGTTATCATCTAGTGGAAGATCTAGGATGCACACCCAGGATGCCTGACGACTAGCCTGGTGATTGTCACATTATACCATGTTGCCTCTCGTTATTAGACATTTATAATGCTCTAACCTAAATTGACTAGAATTCCAATAAAACAAAAACCATCATGTACTTAATTTTAATGTATGGATTATCGTAATAACTAACATTTCTAAATGGGAGAGATCATTAGTGTAGTAGATGAATGCTCTTTGTTGTGATAAATTGATGAGGGAGACCGTTTAGGTGGAGTCATTAAAAATCAAAAGGATAAACGACAACAAGTGTTGGTGCTGATATGGAGAAAAGAGAACCCTTGTACACTGTTGGTGGGAACATTTTGTGCAATCATTTTGAAAAACAGGATGAAGATTCTTCAAAATGTTAAAAATAGAACTAAGAGATGATCTAGCAATCTCTCTTCTGGATACAAAAGCAAAGGAAACTAAATCAGTACCTCAGAACGATATGTGCACTTCCATGTTCATTGCAGCATTATTTACAATAGCCAAGACATGGAAATAACCCAGTGTCCACCGACAGATGAATAAATAAAGAAATTGTGACTGATATATATGATATTTGTGATATATATGTCATATATATATATCATAATGGAATATTATTCAGCTTTAAAAAAGAGATCCTGCTATTTGTGACAACATGGATGAAACTGGAGGACATTATGCTAATTGAAATAAGCCAGACACAGAGAAAGAAGTACAGCATGATCTCACTTATATGTGGAGTTTTAAAAATTCAAATGCATAGAAGCAGAGAGCAGAATAGTAGTTGCTAGGGTGTGGAGGTGGCAAAAATGGAGAGATAGTTGTTAAAGGGTATAAAGTTGCAATTACATAAGATGAATAAGTCTAGAGATTTAACATACAATGTAATGATTATAGCTAACAATACCATACTGTACGCTGAATATTTGCTAATAGAATACATTTCAGGTGCTCTTACCACACACAACATAAAAGGTAACTATATGAAGACAGGAAACATTCCTTGGCTTGACTGTAGTCATCATTTTACTGTGCATATGTATATCAAAACATCATGTTGCATACTTTAAATATACAGGATCTGCACAAATTATGCTCCCTTTTTATCACAAAATCATAAGCATGTAGTTCTATAATACAACAATATCACACTCAAGTACACCATATGATGTTTTAGGTAAAGCGTTCAAATTAAAACTATAAATTATTACACTCATATTATTACCCTACCAACTATGCTCAAGCAGGCCTTACTTCTGCCAGATCCTATATTTTCATCATTGAAAAACAGAATACAAATAAATCCATTTCTTTAAAAATGTTTTTCCAAATGTTTTGGGGGCTTTAGATTTGAAGTCCAATAAGCTGAAAAGAAAGTAAAAATGTATTGCTTTAAAAAAGGTATTATTAGGAGGTACAGCATATACTATACCTTGAGAGCTTCCTTCAGACAAGCAGATGGATACTTCATCATTTCTGTCATTATCCTCTTCTGCTTCAGGACCAGCTTCCTCTCCTGTTGGGAGTGCAGACAAAGAACCAGACTCTGGCTGTTCAGAAAAATCAGCAGGGCCTCCTCTTGGAGGTGGAACTTCAATCCCCATTAAACGGTATTTCCTTCTTCGATTCCCAATCCAAGTCTTTATAAGAGAAATACAAGAGGAAGCTTTGTAAACATAGAAAACTTAGCAGTTATGGCCATTCAAATAATGAATGGATGCTGCATAAAATATGATTAAAAAGAATAAATAGGTACCTAGAATAATGACATTTTATTATTACTCAATAAGTTAAAATAAAAACAATTGTTTTTGCTTTTACGTATCTTATTAGCAGAAAGATAGTATTTATTTAAATACTCAGACTTTCAAGAAACATGCAGTCCATTGTAGAATGCTTTTTTATTTTCTTTATTGTTTTTCTGGAGAAAATTACTCCCAAATCTTTCAAAAAGAACAGGAAAGGGAAGGGTTAAATCAAGGAACATGTATGAAGGACACATGGATGGAGCCAAGGTGGGGAAGGATTGCAGGGGGGAGGGGAAGGTGGGAGGGGCAGGGGAAGTCGTGGCGGGAAAATGAAGACAAGTGTATTTGAACAATTAAAAAAAAACAGACTCAGAGGAGGATGACAGCTAAGGTGTGGGCGGAGGTTAGCGGGTGGAGGGATGGAGCAAAAAGGAAAAAGGACTCATGGACATGGACAACAGTGTGGTGACTGAGGGAGTGGGGGGTGTAATAAAAAATACAATAAAAAACTTAAAAAATAAAAATTAAAAAAAAGACCAGGAATTGGTTCTCTTTCTAAAGGGACCAGGCGTACAGCTATAATTACAATTCATCTCCCATTTTGAATCTTGTTCTTCTTGGTGAAAATGTGCCTCCCATTAACCTTGGTTGGCTTAATAATGGTTACCTGGTTTATTTCAAGTATTCTAAAATTTCATTTTATTGATTTAGAACCATTTTTAAAACTTTTTATATTAAAATAATTTCAAAGCCACAGAAAGTTGCAAAGAGAGGTCTCCATTTGGTTGCTTCCAATTAACAGTTTACATAATTATAGCACAATACAAAAACAGGAAACATTATAAAATATGTGTATACACTTCCATGTTCCTTTATCACACCATTCTTCTTCCTCTCCTTCCCACCATTTCCAATACCTGGCAACCACTGATCTGTGTAATTTCAAGAACACTATTTAAATAGAGTCATATAGCATGTGACTTTTTGAAATTGGCTTTTTTTCACTCAGCATGATTTCCTGGATTTATTTAAGTTGTACGTATGAGTAGTCCATTCCTTCTTTACTGCTAACTACTTAGCAATAAAAAATTCCATGATACTTACGTACCATTTTTTCCTGTATTTTTTCCGCAAAGATTGTTTAACTGTTCATTCCATGAAGGAAACTTGAGTTGTTCACAAATTTTGTCTATTACATATTAAGCTCCTATGAATAGTCATATACAGGATTTTATGCAGATATGTTTTCATTTCTCCAGGATAAATGCCCAAGAATGCAATTGCTGAGTCATATGGTAATTATATGTTTAGCTTTATAACTAAATGAAACTGCCAAATTGTTTCCAGAGCAGTTGTACCATTTTACATTCTTACCAACAATGTATGAGAGATCCAGTTTCTTGGCATTCTTGCCAGTATTTGGATAGTCAGCATTTTTTTTTATTATTATTTTAGCTCTTCTCCTTGGAGCACATAGTGATCAATGATAGAGTTCTTAATTTGACTTCCCCAATCACTAGTGATAATGAAAATCTTTCCATGTGCTTTACCATCCATCTATCTCTTTTAATGAAATGTTTCTTTATGTGTTTTGCCTATTTTCTATTTGAGTTGGTTTTTTTTATTCATGTTAAGTTTTGGGAGTACTTTATATAGTCTATATATGATTTATTTGTCAAATATGTGGTTTGTAAATATTTCCTGCCCACTCTTTAGCTTGCATTTTCATTATGTATTTTGCAACACAAAAATTTTTAACTTGATGATGATCAAGTTATTGCTTTTTCCCCTATGCAGAATGTGCTTTTAGTGCCATTTCTAAGAATTCTTCACCAAGCCCTATGTCCGAAAGAATTTCCTGTTACCTTCTCAAAGTTTAATCGTTTTATTTTTATTTTTTATTATTTTTTGCTTTTAAATCTATGATCCATTTTGAGATTTTTTTTAAGGTGTGATTTTTAGGTCAAGTTTCATTTGTTTTCCTATAGATATTGAATTGTTCCTGCACCATTTCTTAAAAAGACTTCCTTCATTGAACTGCTTTTGCACCTTTGTCAAAAATCAAGAGTGTGGAGATTGACTGTAGGAGTAGGGGGTAGTGGGCTGGGTGGAGGAGGGCAAGGCGGGAAAAATTGGGATGACTATAATAGAATAACAATTAAAAATGCCCATCAGTAGATGACTGGATCAAAAAACTATGGTACATTTACACAATGGAACACTACGCAGCAGAAAGAAAAAAAAGAACTACTAAACTTCGCGACAGCATGGATGGAACTGGAGAGCATCATGCTAAGCGAAATAAGCCAGGGGGCGAAAGACAAATACCATATGATCTCACCTATAAGCGGAACCTAACCAACAATCCAAAGATGCAAGGAAAATAAGACCAGCAACACTGAAAGGAAAAGAAACCAACAGAGACAAGAGGGAAGGAGGGAGGGGGTGCAGGAGAAAGGGAAGGGAAGGGGAAAGTCAAGGAACATATAGCAAGGACTCATGGACAAAACCAAAGGGGAAGAGCTGAGGGAGGGAGGGAGGGAGGGGGCAAGGGAAAGTGGTGGGGGGTAGGCAGAGACAAATGTATTTAAAAAAAATAAATTAATTAATTGAAAAAAAAAAAACAACTTAAGCTGGCCATGGTTGTATAGGGCTATTTCTGGGTTCTCTAGTCTGTACCACTCACTGATCTATAGGTCTAGCCCCCTGTCAATAGCGCACAGTCTTGATTACTGTACCTGTATAATAAGTCTTGAAATTGGGTAGATGGATTTCTTCTACTTTGTTTTCCCCAAATTGTTTCAGTTATTCTAGCATATTATCTTTCGATATGAATTTTAGAATTATCTTATCTATATCAATAAGAAATCTTGCTGGGACTTTTATAGAAATCATATGAAATCTGTGTATCAATTTGGGGAGAATTTACATTTTTGCTATGTTGAGTCTTACAGTCCATGATCACAGAAATGTTTTTCCATTATGTAGAACTTCTGTGACTTCTTTCAACAGTATTTTGTAGTTTTCAGCATACAAGTCCTGTTACATGTATTGTTAAGATTTACACTGAAATATTTGATTTTTGAGTATTTTTGCAAACAGTATTATCTTTAATTTCAGTTTGTTTGTCCATCTGTACTGTATAGCATGCAATTGAATTTGTATATTGATCTTGTATACAGACACCTTGTTGAATTCACTTATTTGTTGTAGGAGTGTTTTTTGTAGATTCCTTGGGATTTTCTATGCAGCCAACCCTGTATATCTTTTATTTCTTTTTATTACATTATTGCATTGGCCAGAATTTCCAGTACTATATTGAATAAAGGTGATCAGAGTGGACATCCTGTTTTGTTTTTGATCTCAGGGGAAAAGCATTCTATCTTTCATCATGAAGTATAATATTAGCTATAGGTTTTGAATGTTTATACATTTCTTTCTGGAGGAGTTTTTTTTAAACTTCTTTTAATTGTATTTTTTCCATTACCATTTATCCCCCTTTTACTCCACTCCAGTCTGCAATCACTACCCTGTTGTCCATGTCTGTGAGTCCTTTTTCTTTTTCATTCGATCCATCCACTGCTTAACCCTGCCAGCTCTGGAGGAGATTTTTAATGATGAATCCACCTAATCTATTTTATATTGGATAAACTGTGGTAGGGTTCACTCTTCAAGTATTGATCCATTTTCTCTACATTGTCAAATTTGTGTGTCTAGAGTTGTTTGTTGTATTCTCTTATTATCTTTTTAATTTCTTCAATGTCTATAATGGTATCCTCTGTTTCCTTCCTGATATTAGTCATTTGTTTCTTCCCTCGTTTTTTAATTTGCAAGTCTTGCTAAGATGTTTGTTAATTTCACTGAGCTTTTCAATGAACCCACTTACTTTTTCATTGATTTTTTTTCTTTGTTTTTCACCTTTGAATCTGTAACTTGGCCTGTGAATTTCACAAGTACTTCTCAGCCCCCTGCACACTTAGGTGGGACTGAATGGCTAAATGGAGCTCAAGTTGGTTATTTCACTCATTTAGTTCAGCTAGGCTCTGACAAATCTCCAATAGGTTAGACTCCAGTAAAATAGTTGTCCTTTAGTGCAGGCTCTGTTGAGGGAACAGAATACTCTGGCATATTTTAATTTTTTAAATTAAATTTTTTTGTGACATTATTAATAAAATAGTATAGGTTTTAAATGTACAATTCTTTGATATATCATCCTATATTTCATTGTTTCCCCATCATCCAAAGTTAAATCCTTTTCTGTCTCCAAATATTTGACCACCTTTATCCTTTACTGCCTCCACTTCCCTCTTGGAACAACCATAACAGTTGCCTGTCTGTGTCTCTGAGTTTCAGTTTTGTATCCCACGCATGAGTGAAATTATATGGTTCTTCATTTTTTTCTGACTGACTTGTTTTGCTTAGCACAATATTCTCACGATTCATCAATTTTGTCGCAAACGACAGAATTTTATCTTTTCTTATGGCTGAGTAGTACTCCGTAGTATCGATGAACCACATCTTCTTTATCCAATCATCTATCAAAGGACACTTTGATTGTTTTTATGTCTTGGCCACCGTAAATAATGTTGCAAAGAATGTAATGGTACATATATCTTTGCGAATAAATACCCCCTTCTACATTCCATTGACTATGACCCAGAGACAAATTAATTTATCACTTAACACCTCAGATTCTTCATCTGATGAAACTGCAAAATGAGGCAACTGGTTTCCAAATCATTAATCTACTGGATAACTCTGTCCCTCCAGGAAGTTCATCAATCTATAGAATAATACTGTATGTTTTCAAAGAGAACTCCTATGCATTGACAGTACAAATATAATGGCTATTAAAGAATTGGACTCTCAGGTCCTATACGCTTCTAAGTATA